TGTATTCTGCTGAGGGCTTTCTAAGCTTCCTGGATCTATGGTTTTGTGCCTGTCATTAATTTTTGAAAGTTCATGACCATCGTTACTTTCTTTCATCATATGAAATTTGACTTGTTCATGTGTTAATCATTTTATATCATCCCAGGGTTCTTGGATGCTCTTTGCTGATTTATTTTTCTCTTTGCATTTAAGTTTCAGAAGTTTCTATTGGCTTTTCTTTAGGTTGTTTCTTCTGTCACTAGTGTAAAATCTACTGATGAGGCCATCAAAGCCAAAGAAAGCCAAAGCCAAACAAAGCCATTTTTTTTTTTTTCTTTTTTTTTTTTTTTTTTTTTTTGAGATGGAGTTTCGCTCTGTCACCCAGGTTGGAGTGCAGTGGCACGATCTCAGCTCACTGCAAACTCCGCTTCCTGGGTTCATGCCATTCTCCTGCCTCAGCCTTCCGAGCAGCTGGTACTACAGGCACCCGCCACCACGCCAGGCTAACTTTTTTGTATCTTTAGTAGACGAGGTTTCACTGTGTTAGCCAGGATGGTCTCCATCTCCTGACCTTGTGATCTGCCCGCCTCAGCCTCCCAAAGTGCTGGGATTACAGATGTCAACCACTGCACCCGGCCAAAGCCATTGTTAATATCATTTACAATTTTTTTTTAAATTTCTGAGATTAATTTTTAAATTCGTTCTTAGAATTTTTATCCCTTTTCTTATGCTATCCACCTGTTCTTTTGTATTTTCTGCTTTTTTCCTGGTAGAGTCCTTAAAATAATGATATAGTGATTTGAAATTCCCTGTTTTACGATTTCAAAAATTACATCATACCTGATTTGGGCTTTAATAATTACTTTGTCTCTTTAGGCTGTGTTTTCACTTCTGTTTTGACGTGGTTTGCAATATTTTGTTGAAAACTGGACACATTGTAGTGGGTGATAGAAACCAAGGTACATCGATCACTAGTAGGAAGATTTATGTTAGTCAGGCTAGGAATTGGACTGTGTTGCATATTTTCTGTAACTTATAAGTGTGAGACATTTTAAATTTCCCTAGTATCTTTGTTTTGTCTTCAGTCTTGACTTTGGGCTTTGCTTAAGACTTCTCAGAGAGAGTCTGCGTCTTGCAGCTATTTAGGTTACAACCCTCTATTACACTAGAGCTCTGTCGGTGTGGTGGCATATTGCAGGGACGGGGGAAATTCTATAATATTATAATTAAATCTGTCTTTTAATGAACCTCTTCTTTGGGGCTTTCTTTCACAAATATGTCTTCAAAGGTAGTGGTCTCCCCCTGCCAACACCTTATTCCTTTCACAGGGTGCTGTGTCCCCAGTCTATTTCCTTAAAATTCAGACCACCATGGACTGTTTTTATTTCTTTCCTCACCCCTGTAGGTTAGACAGTAAGACTGGAGGAGCTTGTAGTGGGTAAATGGCCTTATGGCAAAGTGCCTCTGCCTGGATATTAAGACTGTGTTATGGAGGAGACTCAAGATGTATTTCACAGTAATTGCTCTTCCTGCCCACCTGTCAGAACCATGAGGGGGCATTTATCAGATATTGTTTATGAGAACCAGTGGAGATTCCTGGAGTTAAACCCATGAAAGTATGGACCTGCTGCCAACATTACCTCTCCAGGAGTTTCTTGCTCTTACATGAGTCCACACTCTGCCCTAGTCATTCATCAAAATTATCATTTAAGTGTTTTTACCAGTTTGTGTCTCCAACAACTTCTGCTCCAGGAAGCACGTTTAGAATGTGTCTTTCTGGGTTCACTTCACTCCAGATCCTAGGGTGGTGGTTTGTTTTGTGCCCTCAGTTCTCTGGTAGGTTCAAGAAAATTCTTTGAATTTCACATTTTATTTTTGTAAGTATGAGAATGATAAATTTCAAGCTCATTTCATGTTAGAGCCGAAACTGGAAATATGCCATGCTTCCTGCAACTCTAGAGATTTATATATGAGCCAATTAACCTGTAAAAAATGATAGCAGTCTCTTGAAAACTAACCAATATAAAACAAAGAAAGTGATGAAGAACAACCTAGTTACATGTGTTATTTATATAGAAAAAAAGTTTAGGAGCACTTGCTGTGTGATACCAACTTTTTTCTGGACGATATATTTGATAATTTTATAACTAAGAGAAAGCGTGAAATACTTAACGCACATGGAATCTGTAGTGATATGTATTCCAAAGCTATCCTTCATTATTTACATGATTTCAAGTTAAATTTGTTTTCCTACTTTACAGTTTTCGTTGTTTCACTCAATATTAAAAATTTAGTACCTGCAGAAAAGGTACAATATTTTGATGTGTGCAAATTTGTAAAAAGTGTTTATCACTGAATTACTATTTTTCAATTTTCTAAAATAAGTGTACATTTTACATTTTTCATAACCATATAATTACATATTTAAAGTACATTTAAAATTGATGTTATAAACTGTGCCAACTTTTTTGATATTTCTCATGTGTAGCCAAGCTAATGCAGGTGGTTTCATCTTCCAAACTTTACCCCCACTTACCTAACTGACATACAAATAGCACAAATTCTTTTGGTACCCTCTATTGCAGGTTATGATAACTTTCGGTATGGCTACTGCCATTTAAATGAAAATATAAGAGAGGAAATTCTGAAACTTTTTAGGGAAAGAATTATAATCCTTTTCTTTGTACATCACAATTAATAGTGGAAATTAAAGGTGGGCTTTGTCTAAGATCCTACTTATGAATAATGGAAGTAATGATTATCAGCATAATTTTTTTAACATCTTAAAATGTTTTAGACATTATTCAAATCATGGTACAAGTAACATTACCTCATTATGTCTCTACTATCTTGTTTTGAGTAAAGGTACATTTATAAACCCCATTTTTCATATGAGGAAATTGACACACAGGAAGACACATAGCTAGTGGTAGGCATCAGGTATAGAAAATACATCTTGAGATTTTGCTCTATTAACCACTCTACTACACCACCTCTGGTGAGCACCAACAGGAAAAAAAACGGGCAATACATTATACCCACCTTTGAGAAGGGACTAAATTTGAAACTTTTAGATGTGAACATGGTAGAGTATGGAGTAAGGAAAACATAAATTCTAAAGAGTTAATTTTAGGAGACAAATAGAGGTTTGGAATCATGAAAACTGAAAATTATTCTTCTCTAAAGTCTTTGTGACAAACAAGATGTGAAAGATACAGAACTGAAGTGTTTTAGCTATCTACTGCTGAATCATAAAGAATAACAAACTTAGTAGCTTAGACAAAGACAAGTCATTATTTTTCACAACTCTGAGGACTAACTTTGTTTCTCTACTTCATATATTATTGACTTGGGAGTAGCAGTGTCTGAATGATCCAAAATGGACTGGCAGGCCATTTCTGACTGGCAGTTAGTGCTGGTTATCATCTGGGGGGTCAGGGAGCAATATTAGCCAGAGAGGCTTGTTTTTGTCTCCGGTTGGCCTTTCCAGGTGGCTTGGGATTTTTCCATTTTTGGCATGGTTTCTCATTTCAATGGCTAGGTTAAAAACAACCTCACATTAGTGGCTTAAAACAACAGTCTTAGTAATTGGCTTACAATTCTAAAATTTAGATAAAGACTAGTGGGAGAAATTCATCTTTGTTCCAGGTTGCTGGAGGATCCACTTCAAAAGAGCCTTACTCAGAAGTCTAGCAAATTAGCGCTGTCACCTGGGGCTGAAACAAGAGCCTCAGTTCTCCTTCAAGGAGCTTCTCCGTGTGGTGAGTTTGAACTTGGACAGGCAGAACAGTGTTTCTGGGTAGTCACCTATTTACACGGCAACTGACTGCCCCCGTCTTCAAAAGCAAAACTACAAGACATCCTTAAAGTCTTTGACAAAATATGTGTTCAGCGTCCTTGTTCAATTATGTTGGATTATCTTCTTATTTATGAGGAATAAGTGGGTTTCACACAGATTAGTTTTCAAATCAATGTTTTAACAATATTCTTCCCAGTCTCTGGCTTGTGATTTCTTGTCTTTTTCATTGTTTTTTTTTTTTTTAATATTCTTGAATTATAATTAACATAATAAACTGTATAATTTAAATTGACATGTGAATACACCTGTGAAATCATCATCACAATCAAGAATATGAATATATTCATCCCCTCTCCACTTTCTTCATCATGTCATTCCTGTGCTTCCCCTCCCAAGGCAGTCACTGATCTTTCTCTGTCCCTATAGTTTCTGTTGCTTTTTCATGATCATGTTTTTTCTTTTTACTAATATGTTCAAATAAATTACTTTTTTAATTGCTAAATTAACCTTGCATTCCTGAGAAAAACACCACTGGGTCATGTTGTATTATATCTTTTTTTTTTTTTAATATGTTGCTGGATTTGAATTTTTAATGTTTAAAAAAAGTTCACACATATTCTTGAAGAACATACTTCATAGCATTTTTCTTATATTTGCCTGTTTAAAATATTGAGGTAATTCAGCCCTTTAAGAAGTGTTCCCATCTCTTCTAATTTCCGAAAGCGTTTATGCAGAATTATTTTATATCTTCCACAAATGTTTAGTGGAATTTAGTATTAAAGGCTTCTGGGCCAGGAATTTACTTTGTGGGGATATGATTAGCTATGGGTATTTCAAATTGTGCATTTAGCTGAAGCTTTTGGAAAAACTTGAATAAAATAATTTATAATATTCTCTTATTATCATTTTAATATCTGTTGGTTTTAAAGTGATAAATCTCCCTTATTTCTGATATTAGTAATTTATATATTTTTTCTAATCAATATGGATAGATCAATTTCATTATTCTTTAAAAATTGGAATATGAGTTTATCAATGTATGTGCTATTTTTAAATATTTTATTGATTATTAATATGATTACTAATATTTATTACTTTCATCTTTTTGTTTATTTTGAAGTTTAATTAGTTCTTTTTTGTTCTTACAGTAGAAAATTTGAATATTAATTTGAAAACTTTTTTATTTTGCAATATTAGCCTTAAATGTTTTGCCTTTTCCTCTCAGCACTCATTAGGTGAATAAACAATATTCACTATACCTATAGAGTGGAATACCACCCAGCATCCTCTCACATACAAAGAAAGAACAAATTGCTGATATACACAAAAGTCCATCAATCTCAAAAATCGTCATGGTAGGTAACTGGTAGAAATCAGACTTAAACTATTTTGTGATTGAATTTATAGAAAATATGCCGAAGGAAACAGATATATGTTTATCTGGGATCAGGGTTGAGAGTGAGGAGGATTAGTTTTTGAGTTCTTTTTGGTTTTGGCTATTGTATACTCCTTTATGCTACTATAAACACTCAAATACATATAATCATTCAAGTGTAAATAGAAATGGTATACGGCTATTATATACTACGATGAACATCTAAGTACCAGATTGTTTGTAGGTACATTTTTACTTTAGAGTAGAAGCCTAGAAATGTAACTTGGGTCATATATTAAGGATGTCTTTAACTTTAGGAAAAACTCTCAAACTGTTTTCAATTTAACAGCACTATTTTACTTTCCAATTGGCAATGCATAGAGTCTACATTGAAAACCCTATCCTTGTTTGTCTTTTCAAATAAAGCTATTTTGAATGTGTACTGATATGCCAAAGTAGATTTAACTTGCAGTTTTCTAATAACAAATGACAGTTACATATTTTTATGAGCTTATTAGTCACTTCTTCTGTGAAATTATTTTCAAATATTTGTGCTCTTTTTATTGGACTACTGATTTTCTTCTTAGAAATCTGTTAAGGGACTTTTTTTAGTACTGAATAAAATGTCTTCATCAATGATAAATGATTTGCAAATGTATCTTCTAACATGGCTTTCTCTTTCATTTTCTTTATGGTATCTCTTAAGGAAGATTATAAGAGTGATGAAGCCCAGTTTACCAATATTTACTTTTATAATTTTTGAATTCTTGTTCTAATAAACTCTTATATATCCAAAAGTACCAAAAACTTCCTATGTTTTCTTTTTTTTATTTTTATTTTTTTTATTTTTTTGAGATGAAGTCTCACTCTGCCACCCAGGCTGCTAGAGTGCAGTGGTGTGATCTTGGCTCACTGCCTCAGCCTCCCAAGGAGCTGGGATTAGAGGCATGCACTACCATGCCCAGCTGCTTTTTGTATTTTTAGTAGAGATGGGGTTTTGTCATATTGGCCAGACTGGTCTGGAACTCCTGACCCCAGGTGATCCTCCTGCCTTGGCCTCCCAAAGTGCTGGGATTAAAGATGTGAGCCACTGCACCCAGCCTTCCTATGATTTATTCTAAAAGTTCTGCAATGTTTTATATTTTCTATAGATTTGTTATCTAGATGTAAAATGTGCGGATAGTTGAAGAAAAGTCAAGGTAGATTTTTAAAAAATAAATATTCTTTAATTTCACCACTATTTCTGGAGAAACAATATCCTTTAGCAATGGTATTACTTCGTTAAAAAAAATTTACCATTAAGTGTGGGTTTATCTCTAGATTCTCAGTTCTGTTCTATTGCTTTACCAATGTCTATCTTTATGCAATTAAAATAATATCTTGGTTTCTACAAATTTTTGATAACTCTTAAATTAGATAAAGTTAATCTTCCTACTATGTTATTTCTAAAATTGTCTTGGGTATTTCAGAGTTTTCAAGTTCATGTACATTTTACAACTACCTTTTCAAAATCTACATCAAAAAAAAAAAAAAAACCTGCTAAGATTTTTATTGAAATTACACCGGATCTGCAAATGTATGTAAATGAAATTGCCATGATAATGATTTTTCTTCTCCAGTCCTTGAACATGATATCTCTATATATTTCAGCTTTCTTTAATTTGTCAGCAATATTTTATAGTTCTCAGTGTTTACATTTTGGAAAAAAAAAAAACGTTTTTAGATTCATCACAAATCGTTTTTAAATTTTTTGACATCATTGTTGATTATTTTCTTCAAATTGCCTTTTTGGATTATTTATTGTTAGTAGAAAGGAATGGTTTTGTTTTTTTATATTGTTATTGTATTCTTAAAATTTTGCTAAATTCACTTATGTTTATTGGTAGCTACTTTTCAAGATTATGAAAGAGTTATCAGTGGTCAAAGATACAATCATTTGAACAACAAAATAGGTCAATTAGTATTGGATTATAACTCAAAGTACACAATAGACATTCATAAGTGCTTAGTAATATAGCAAATGATTGAATACATTTTTTAAATGAAGGAAAGTTGACAGGCTGACAGAGAAAATATGCAGATGGCAAATAAGTATACAAAAAGATGCTTAATGTTATGTCATTAGAACATTGTAAATTAAAACAGATACTACTACACAGCTATTAAAATGGTTAAAATCAAAAACTTTAAAAGCACCAAATGCTGATGATGTGGAGCAACTACAGCTTTCACCTATTGCTGGAAGAAATACGAAGTGGTACAGTTACTTTAGAAGAAAGTTCAGCAGTTTCTTACAAAACTAAACATAGGCTTACAATATGATAGAGCAATTATGCTCTTTGATATTTACTCAAAGGAGTTAAAAATTTATATCCACACAAAAACCTGCATGCACAAGTTTCAGCAACTTGATTAATAATTGACAAAAAAGGAAGCAAACAAGGTGTCTTTCAATAGATGAATAGATCAATAAGTGTGACATACCCATCCAATGGAATATTATTCAACTATAAAAATATACTTATCAAGCTATGAAAGAACATGGAGAAACGATAAATTCTTATGGCTATAATGAAAGGAACCAGTGATTGTGATTGTTAGTTTTACGTGTCAACATGACTCGGGCAAGAGGTGCCCAGATATTTGGATAACATTATTTTGGGAGTGCTTGGGAGGTGTTTCTAGATGAGATTAACATTTGATTCGGTAAAGTAAGCAAAGCAGATTGCCCTCCCCATTGTCGGAGGACCTCATCCAAACTGTTTAAGGCCAAAATAGAATGAAAAGGCAAAGAGAAAATTATCTTTCTCTGCATGACTGTCTTTGAGTGTGGACAATCCTTCTTCTGCTACTTTTGGACTCTGATTCATGCTTGAACTAGAACTTACACTGTTGGTTCTCCTGAGTTTTCAGCTTGTCAACTGTAGATCTTGGTACTTCTCAGCATATATAATTGCATGAGCTATTTTTTTTTAAATAATCTCTATCTCTCTCTCTCTTTCTCATGTGTGTGTGTATATATATATATTGTTTTTGTTTCTCTGGAGAACCCAGGCTAATAAGAGTCATCAGTGAACAACCAGTCCTGGATGTGTTATCAGGTGAGCTTTGGAGTTTAAGCAGAATGTTTTAAATTATTACTTAGATAGCCCACTCCCTTTTTTGTAGTCAAAAGTCAAAACCAGACTTCCAGGGGCTTATATAGATAACTGAGCTTTCCAAAAACATGTAGATTTACCCTGCACATACTGTATGAGTCCATGTATAAGATTTCAAAAGTATGTTCAATTATACTATATATTACCTATGTATTCCACATGATGGATACATATGCGTGGTAAAAGTATAGGGAAAAACAATCAAATTATATACACAATATTCAGAATAGTTATTAGTTTTTCAAAGAAAGAAAGTGATTGGGATTTGGGGCAAGAACATGCGAGTTTGCCAAGATATAGGTTACAATTAATTTCTTAACCTGTGTGGTAGACACAGGTGTGTTTCTTTTATAATTTGTCATTACATTCTACAGATATTCTACAGATAGCCTAATATTCTTGGACTTACTTTCCATGTTCTGTTCTAAATGTTTTCTATATAACTCCTTACATCCATATAAAGACTGAAAGAAGTAGTTCCTTCTGTTACGCTCATGCTACCAGTGCGGAAGCTGCAGTGTAGTGAGGCTAAGTCAACTTCCTGGTATTACACCGCTAGAAGTGACTAAGGTTGTGTTCAAACCCATGCAATTTGGCTCCAGAGCCTCCACACCAAACTATTATATTATGTATAATATAAAGAATGACTACAAAATAAACAAGACTCAAATAAACAAATGCCTAGGTTTATATTAATGTTGGAATCTGTTTAAGGGCTACAAATATACAAGGTTTGTAGTAGCGGAGTAAGGACCTCAGGGATTTCTTCACAAGACAGTATTTCATGCAGTTTCCAGTGGTTTATCTGGAGATAGTTCACAATATGTGATTGAAAGAAAAAAAAAAAAAAGGCTGTTCTTAACTTTCTGTGACATAACAGTAAAATAGCACAGTTTTCAGATATCAGCATTCTGTTAGTGCACTTTACAAACAAGCACAAAAGAACAATAGAAGATAGTTTCTTTCATCATATGTAGGTGCTATTCATTTTACACAGTTCTGCTTACCACAGGAGAGTGAGACATAGTTCTGTCGTCTATGTGGATGGAAATTGCTGCTTTATGTTCAGACTTTGTGTCATACATATATATTTCTATATCCTGTAAATGTATGTATGTGTATACGCAAACATGTGTGAATATACATACAGTATATATGTAAATGTATGAGTATGCATTTTGTTTTGTTTGCTCAAAAATGTAACTAATTTCTTTAATTTATTTAGATAAAATGCTATTTCTTATTATTTTTTAGTAGTAGAAAGGCAGTAGGTCAGAGTAGAAAAAGAAAAATGTAGATGTGGCAAGTTAGTCTCTAGAATCAGAGAGAGTTTTTAAAATGCCAACATGTTTTGTGTTATCTTGAGTAACTCGCCTAAATTATCTGCCATTTTTATCTCATGTGTAAAATAAACATTTAACAATTTTAGTGGTGGTGTAAGAATTAAAATAAATAATAGACATTTAATACCTAACAGTTTCTCTTTAACCTTCAATATAAGTTAATTCCATTCCCTGTATACTGATTCTACTGAATCATTTTTCCTGAAAATATTTAAATGCTCTCATATATATTTTTCTTTGCTCTGAATAACTTAAAACGTTCTAAATGATAATCACTTCCTATTATGCCACCCAGTATGTCAATTAAAATGATTAAATCCCAAGAAGGAAGCCATCTTCAGTTTGGAATTTCTATGGAGTTGTAACTTCTGAGTTTGTCTCACTAAATAGTGTACTTCACCTTTATAAAATGAAGTAGGTATTATATTTTACAGAATTTTATGGACATAGAGTTTATAACTAATCCAATTAGATTAAAA